CAGGGCTAAACCTCTACGCTTCAGATTGTCGATAGTCAAAATCCGCTTGTGCCACACTAGCCAAAGGAAACCACACACTTTTGGAGGGACAATACTATTCCACACAACTTCAGTAGGGAATCCTTCAACTCCCGGGAACCGGTTCTCCACCTGCATTTTGTACATTGAGCTCACAGAGAAAACTTCACTATTATTAGGTAACCACACAACACGGCCAGGACCATTAAGGATCCTATTAGAATTAGAAGAAAGTCTATCCAGGAAAGCAAAACTCTCCCTCTCAGCCCCACCCCTCAAATTAATAGAGAAAGGAATATCCCACACTATGTTCTCACCTTGCCAGGTCAAAGCTTCAGGAATTAAAGCATTTGGATAGGTGGCAGCAGCAGCAACTCTGGGGAAAAAGTCAGCTAGGCAGCCTTCTGGGATCCATTTGTCGTGCCACAAGGAGACGCCAACACCTGCACCTGGTTCCAAACAAGCTCCCTCCCAAAAAGCATCACTAGACTTAGTAATGTTTGCCCACACAGAGCTACAATAGCCATCAGTGATCTTCTTAGTTCTCCATTCAGATTCGTTGCTCTGGTATTTGTTCTCGATAAGCTGCCTCCACCAGCTGGATCTCTCAGTAGCATATCTCCATAACCACTTGCTTAGAAGAGCATTGTTGAAACTTCGTAGATCAATGGCTCCAATACCCCCCTGCTTCTTGGGAGCTTTACACAAGTCCCATTTCACCAAATGCATCTTATCCTCATCACCAGCTCCACTCCAAATGAATCTTTTTTGAATTTTTTCCATGATATCAATGACAGTCTTCGGCGCTCTAAACAGTGAGAAATGGTAAACAGGGAGGCTATTTAGAAATTACAACCATAAGAAATTACAAAACCATATAATATATTACAAAAAGTTCTAACAAAGCATTCAAATTATCTAAAAAAATCATTAACTTGTTATAAAATTCAAGTATAAAAGATAGCAATCCGAATTGACTAGATAAATCCGTGGTGATGGTTACCCTTCATATATGGATGGGTATGGTTACCAAATTAGTACCCAATATCTAGTTACTTAGAACGACATTGATATTAATTATGTGGTATACGTACGTGTTACACTACTAGCTAGCTAGTGAGATCACTCGAGATATCGCTGTGAGTGCTTATACGACATTTGATTTAGACATGATGCTAATCAGTTGGCGGTCACATATAATTAATTTCTAGCCTTTTGGGTTCCACATACTAATTATCTTCTTCAAGAACTGAATATATATATATGGTGGCTACTTCGGTGCACTCACTTTTTGGGGTACACTCAGTGCACCCAACTCTAAAAGCGTCCATAATACATCAAATTTTGAACTTTAATTAGTACTCTCAATATAATATGAAGATATGACATAGAATCATAACAAATCAATCCATTACCCTAACCCCTTAACCTTCAATTTTGACTCCCAACCCAAAATCCCAAATTGTAAACCTAAGCCCTAACCCTAAATCCCTAAATCCTTCAAATTAAAGTAAATTTTGAATGAATTTTTTTCAAATTCATGTGCTTCTTGTTCATAATATCATAAGCAACAATTGATACCGTTTTGACATAAATCGCATGGTCAGAATGACAATTATGAGGCGGGTGGGTGCACCGAATACGCCACCATATATATATATATACACGTTTATAAAAGTAACACTTGGTGAATGCTGATGAACATGGGACAAAACGGAGAGTACAATAACCTAGCTAGCCTAGAATAAAAAAAAAGGACACACACCGGTGTAGTGCTATGATGATGTAGATATGAACAGGGCGGTCCAAAATTGATAAACAATAACCGTTCAAGTAATCATATTTGGAATTTAGGGAGGTTCGTTATAGATAAGATTGTCATTCGATTAACCGCACGTACGTCGTTAATTATGTCGATCACGAGGTTGGTCAAGTCGACTACATGACCAGTCAGGTAGAACACTTCTACTTCTCTACTAATAGTTATGATCATTGAACAGTAGAGTTTTTTCAAGTTTATTGCAGATAATTCCACTTTAGTATAATTTTGTCAAGTTTCTCACATAAATAATTTGGATCAAGAAATTGAAGACTCAAGAAGCGTAAAAAATGAATATAATAATGATGATATTGAAAAAGTACGAATATGCTAACACGTAAATAAAATTCTAGAGGCTAAACAATGAGCTCTTCAACCGTGAAGCTTAATACCCGAAATCCTAACCTTTGAATTAAAAAAAAAAATATGAATCTCTTAAATGATAATTAAATTGCAAATCCTAACCCTTGAACCCCTAAAACTTGTTACCCCTAAACCCTAAAAATTGATAAATTGAACCATCCATAGACTGACCCTAAACTTGTTAACCCTAGACGATAATACCCAAACCCCAACTAAAAACCTAAAACTTGGAACCTAATCAATGAACCCCCTAAAATTGTGAACCTAGCCCCTTAGTTAATAACAAAATAAGCCAAAAATTGATCTAGAACATGTTAAGATATTATTGAAATTGTTCGATTATATAATCCTATTGACCAGTTTTGTGTAGATTTGATAGAATTTGAGGGTTATATATACCTAGTGATCCACCCATTTAAAAAATATTCTTTTTTTCCAAACGACCACTTAAGTTTGCATTTTTCCCGTTTATCGTGATTTCCTTTTTCATTTATTGTTTCTAATTTTTTTCTACATAACTGAGGGCAAAATTAATCACACTCCTTGAGCTCAACTATCATGTAAAATAACAGAATTACAAATACGAAAAAAATTATATCACATATGTGCACCATTATCGGATCTTCTTCATTTACCAACACAAAAATTACTTATACAGAGCCATTAAATCCCGATTCTAGAAGCTTATAAATAAAATCACAAATCTAGAAGAAAATACAACACCCACATCACAAAGTACTTGCTTGCATATCGAGGGTTAGTTTTGTTTTATGAGTTTTGAACTTGTTGAATAATTGATTACTCATTTCTTATGTCAAAGTCACAAGCCTTCATTTCAAATACTTGTCGTTCCATCTTTGCGTTTGTTCTTAAGTTTTTTTTCTTTCCAAATTCTAAAATTATGCGATGGAGTAATCACTTTAGTGTTTTTCCAAAATAGTTTAATCGAGTAAACGACGTACACGAGTTGAAATAATCCTAAGGGTTTGGAACCGTCGTTTCCAAGATAGTTTTCCGTTACTATAATTATTATAAAAATGATTCAATTCCACGCACTACATTTCCTACCCCTAAAATGTAAAGCTGCCCAATGGGTATCAACATAATCACGAATTCATTATATTAAAGACATAATTAATTAATTATTATTTATCACTATTAGAAGTAGAACGAAAGATAGTTACTAAAGTCTAATGTTATATACGAATGCATCCGAATTAGGCTATGATATAATTTGTTGAAAGCCCGAGACCAATTGTTTCATTAATATGATATTATTCGTTTTGATTCTAATTCATAAGATTTTGTTTTTGGGTATTTTTCTAAAACTTCGTATGCTAATGAAATTAGGTGGACCCTTCTATATACATGTCATTTCTCTTGTATTTTGAATGTAACATTTGGATGGTCTCATAACAAACTTCTCTCAATACAAAAACTACGATTTTCGGATGCTCCTACTAACGATTTATTACGAGAATTTAAAAAAGTTGTGTATTCCTCTAAAATAATAAATAAATAAGTAAATGAAACAAAGTGGTGCAAAACCAGATTCCAAGTAAGAAATCTAACCACCCAAACGAGGAGGACTTAAAAAATCTTAAAACTTTTATTTTCCTAATCCATCGGGCCAGCACCATTTCTTTTAAATTCTCTTCTCCGAATATATAATTAAAAAAAAAACATCAACAAACATAGGCATACAACTGTAAGGTACAGGACCTATATGAAGCAATATAAGCTGTCTCATTTATTTGTTTATATATTGCTGAACAACCTCCATTTCATTTTTGTATTCTGATGTTTCATGGCTGTAGTGTAGACTTGCTTCCTAAGCACAAACCTCAAAAAACCCACCAAGAAACCCACACCCTTCTTCCATTATTTATTTTATTTTAGCCAACAAGAAACCCTTTGTCACAAAAGTATCCTTCAATAAAATAGTACATCGGAATGATTTGTGAAACCGTACGGGAAATAAACCACAAAAATTAGCAAAGTGATATTTATTTGATACAATCCCAATCAAAATGGTAGTATACCTATTGGATATTGTTGTGTTACCTATTGGCAAAAATAAAAAAAAAACTATTGGATATTGTTGTTACATCATTATAAAAATATGATAACATATTCGATTACTCATATACCGATATAATAACACAATCATAATCGACAAAGTCGAGCAATATTGTATAGGATAGGCATTTTGACAATATTGTATCAATGAGTACAGACTTTTCGTCTTTTCCTGTATGTATGTGTGTATCATATCGATTTGGCCGACAATAAATAATTTTTGTAATTCCACTGTCTACTAACAAAGTCCACATTACTAATGAATTTGCCGAATATTCATCAGAGCTAATTTCTTACATCCATCAAGAGTTTCTTGTCATTTAAAAATATGAAATATTCACAAACAACACAAAGAAAGAAGCAATGTTTGTAAGACCATACCGTACCGAACTTCAGACCGAGAAAACTACTTATTAGATCTCTAGCATATAAGTGGTTGGTAAGCAATTTTACCGATATAAAACGATTGAACCATAATTAAATCACAATTTCCGTACAAAATATCCTACTAACAACTTTTCTAGTACGACGTCCGATTCGATTTTACCAGGAGCACATGAAAGATGGGAAGGGCTCTTAAGCTTGGGGGTAGGGGTCCACTGCCTTTTTTTTTTATATATATTTCTCTTCTGTTGTTGTATGAAATGAAATCAGAGGACTGAGAGCCAAAAAGGCCTATTTAAGGAGTAGACCTCCTGCAAAACCATAATTGTAAACATCTCAAACTCAAACCACCCCCAAAAGAAAAGAAAAAAAAAAGCATATAAGGAGCTGCTGCCACCCAACTTCCCTCTTCCCCTGCCTTAAACCTCTGCTCTTCTTCCCCTTTCCTTTCCCTGCCTTGCCAAGTAAAGAATCCTTCCTTCCCCCTTCTTAATAATAGTTTCTTCTGTTCCCAACCAACAAGAAGCTCCCCTCCCACTTTCTGCCTTCTTCCTAATATAACTCTTCCCTCCCCTTCAAATCAAAATCCTTCCTTTTGGTTGCTTGCTATAAATACATACAAAAACTCTATAAAGCTAGCTCCTTTAAGCCAGTTTCCCTGTTGTGTGTTGTTCAACTTTTGTGTTCATACCCTTTTCCCTTTTTTTCCCCTCACATTCAAAGATCTTTGTCCTGCTTTCCCTGTTTGCTGCTCAAGTTCTCTAGCTCATTTGTGGGTGACTTTTCTTTTGACAAGCTATTCAAAGTTAGAGAGCTTGCATTGGACAAAAGAGAGAATCAAAAGATGGGTATTTCAGGAACTTTGGAGTATTTGTCAGACTTGATGGCAAGTTCAGGCCACAAGCACAAGAAGAGGAAGCAAATGCAGACTGTAGAGCTCAAGGTCAGGATGGATTGTGATGGGTGTGAGCTCAAGGTCAAGAATGCCCTTTCCTCATTAAGTGGTAATAACCATCTTCTTCTTCTTCTTCTTCTTTCTTTCTGATATTGTTAGCTCATAGTTCTGCAACTTCCAAGTGACTGAATTTTTTTTTTTTTTTTTTTTGTTACAGGGGTGAAGAGTGTGGAGATAAACAGGAAGCAGCAGAAGGTGACAGTAACTGGTTTTGCAGAGCCACAGAAGGTGCTGAAGAAGGCCAAATCGACAGGGAAAAGGGCAGAGATATGGCCCTATGTGCCCTACAACTTAGTGGCACAGCCATACGTTGCTGGTACCTATGACAAGAAAGCACCTCCTGGTTATGTGAGGAAGGTCGATCAGCCTGCTGCAACTTCAACCGTCACCAGATATGAGGACCCTTACACTTCTATGTTCAGTGATGACAACCCAAATGCTTGCTCCATCATGTAACAACAGTCAACTAATACTACTACTGATGATCTCTACTTTTTTTTTTGTGAATTCTGGTTTCAACCAAGTTGTAGCTTTTGTAGTACTAGAGAGAGAGAGAGAGAGAGAGAGAGGCTTAAGTTTTTTCTTTTGGTTTGTTCTTGTTCAGTGTGTGGTTTTGGTAGTACTGTGATGGAGACATTTTGATTTTGATGTTCCTATGTGAGTCCGTACTATTATTATATAACAAGAGGGTCCTTTTCTTTCTTTATGCAAATTGTATGGTGTCATGAGTTCATATTTTTCCCGGTGAAGTCTCTGTTGATCAAGGCTTGTGGAATCGTATCAGAGTTATACCGGAAAAGGTCAATAGTAGAGTATTTTATACTAAATCGTAGTTCGATCGATTCTTATTGCTAAAACCGTCTACCTATTTAGGTCTGGTACTCGATATTTCTGGTCGGACCGATCTGATATGATAGGGTTTCTTAAATATGGCTGTTAGCAGGAGCTAGCATTGGATGTGAAAAAGGAGTAAGAACAAAAGGGGAAACAGTGGTTTTGTTCATTTGGGATGTTGGAAATGAAAACATGAACAGAAGAAAAGAAAAGAGAAAACTGACATCACCAGAGGGGGAGATGGTTCTGTTTCACAGTTTCAGTGTGGGTTTCTGTTCTGAGGGAGAAAAGGGAAAACATGGCCAATATCAGAAAGCAATGAGCAAATGATACAAACCAAGAGATTTTGTGAAGATCCCAAGTGAGGGAATATATAATACAATTGAATGGGTCAAATCATAATATATGTTGTTTTTGTTGCCTATGTGCTTTAGGTTGGAGGAGGAGCCTTTGCAATGTTCAGGAAAGAGGTCATTTTGTGCTTCTTTTATTATAGGCCAACAGCATTTGGTTGAATTTTGAATGAAATGATGCATGATATGACAATGTCCTTCATAGCAATACAATTTTCCATGACTGCGGTTTTTCATCACTAAATTGAAGATCTGAGCTACGTAATGGTTAAAGTAATTTCGGTATATGTGTTTGATGTCACGGTAAATGTACATGCATAAACATGATACTTTTTTAGTTAACAACTAAATTTGGTATTAACGAAGTTGTTATGTTTTTAGTTTATACTCGACTCAATCTGGATTAAACTAATCATAACCAATTTATCATAAAAAAAAAGAAAATTTTGGGGAAAAAAGGGTTAGGTTTTGGCGCTTTAATTTTGAAATCACAAGGTTCCAAATCTTGATCCCAATAATAAAGGGGAAAAGGGGGAGCAAATAAAATTCCTTTCTACCATGGGAAACAAAACAAAAGACACCACCCTTCTCTTTTCTTTTCTTACCCTCTCCACTCACCACTAACCCAAAGAAAATGGATCAATTATAGAAATGGCCACTAAACTTTGGTGCCACTAACAAATTGATTCTCAAGTTTTAACGAATGAATAATTTACTAAATCTTTGGTGTCACGAGACAATCACTTTGCTTCATCCGATTAATCTGGATCAACATATTAATTTGCTTGATTCAATAAATAAAAGAGGTCACTTGTCGACTCGTGAAATTACTATTATGTGAGGGGCAGGAAGCAATTATAGTTGTTTCGCGTGATAATGTGTTGAGGCTGGATCCAGTAACAACTCTTATTTGAATGAGAATATAAGTTCGGAAACATGTTATCAATAGAATGAATTAGTGCGATGTCGTTATGTTTTAAATTAATTTACCTGATCGAGCTGAACCACGACACTAATATATGAACAAATTAGACAAAAAAACGCCAACTGATCAGGAATTAGATGGCTATTTATGTTATTACCCGCAAAGTTTAGTGACCATATTTGTAATTGACCACGAAACCAAACTCCAAAGGACGAATCTTTCTTTCCCTTTTCAACTTTCCTTTTCCCTCTCACACGCTCTCCCTTCACACAACCCTTTGTGTGATCAAAAGGGAAGCGTAAAGGCAAATGCATCACTGCTCCTCCTGTAAAAGAAGAGACGATAATCTAAGATTCATACGCAGTAATCAGCACTCTGCATTTTCCCCCCACTTTTGATCTCTTCTCATTTGATCTTTCTGAAGGTGAAGCGCTTCTTCTTCACAGTAGAAAAGGAATAACTGAACCTGACCACTCAACGAAAGAACGAAGCAAAAACCACATTGGAAATGTGAACTGCGGATGAATTTCAAAGATACAAGCTGGCTGTGTAGCATTATTGCCATGGAATTTAGAGAGCCGTGATTCGGTGTTGGTAACAAAAAGGCAGGGCGGGCACCATATAAGTAGAAAGGTGGCGATTTTTCTGGTTTAGGTGTGTGTCACCTTCCTAGTTTATAGTATCAATTAGGTCACAAACCAAAGCTCAATGTGCATTGTTTCTAAGAAAATGAAAGTTATGCTTTGCTCTCCCCCCCCCCCCCCCTCTTTCTTTACCAAGTATCGAATTGAGGACCTAACTGTTGCGCACATTGTATGCAACCAATCAGTTTCGGAGATGCCAGGTCCAAGAAAGTAAAGTTTATTCATTCGTTAGGAAGGACGATTATCCTCGTATTTGTGGGTATCCAGTTGATGATTTAATTGTCTCAGCTCGTCAATTTATGAGCATGGTCTAATCTGGTATGAAGCAAAATCGAACCGATAACGGGTTGAAATTTGAAAAATGAGGATCATAGAGGAATCAAAAAGAAAATTTGATTCAATTTGGACCAATCCAATTACGATATGATCCTGACTTCCTTTTTTTTTTTTTTTGAAGAGAAGTCACATTATTGAAAACAAACAGAAGGATGTTCGATCTTCATTCACATATCGATTCAGTACGGCTCATTCTGATATGGATCAGATCGCTATCCCTGTTTATACTGATGCCTCGTCTAAAATTAAATATAATTTTGTGCAGGCATAACATATTTCTCTATAGTATACATAGTATTTAGTTTCTTAAAATAAAATTTATGCATTCGAACTTTAATTATGAGGCTATTTAGGCATGATCGAGTGCTGAATTTTCGAAACATAAATTTTGGTATCAAGTTTAGGCAACACACAACCTCTCTCCGCCCATGTTGAGGTATCAATTAAACAAAACATGAAATACGTGAGGAACTCAAGCATTTGAGTGATGGGCTAAACTAACAAAATTTTATGATAGGAATGTTAAATACTCCATCCTAATTTCAACATAAATTAGGAGAACAAAGAAAAAAAAAATGATAGAACCCTACAAAACATAGCCGTTTAGCTAAAGAATGTGACATGTTCCATGTCTTCTTCATGGTCTTCCACCTTCAAACCTAAAATAGCTGCTCTCATTTTTCAAGCACAATGATTAAGAGATTCCATGAAAGATTATAAGAGCCATATTAAATCATGTGGGCTGGATTATTTCTAATCCCTTTGCCGGCCTGAGAGTCTCCTAACCCACGATTAAGCATTTGCTTAGTCTTCTTATTATTCCTTTTTACAGCTTCAATGCATGCATTGCATTTGCATACCTTACCTACCATCCATCCAGCTAGCTATATCTGTCTTACACGTAAAAAATATTGAATTTCAGTATGTGCTGTTGTGGTGTATTCAATGTGCAAATTCTAGAGACAGGGGAACTTTGAATGTGAATCAAGGGAAGAAAGCACCAACTGCAATGATGATTTACACTGGAGACTCACCTGTGTTTTTTTTTTTTTTTTGGCTTGTGTTCTCTTCTTATATGTCGTGGTCGTCGTATTTTAGGGATTGGTTAACTTTCTGTTTCCCGAGTAAATCTCGACGAATTTGATGTCGTAGATGGAGAGTTGCATTGCCAGGGATGTTACAGTCTCCTACATCAATGAACAAGATAGTCAAAATGGTTGTTAGTAGAGAACGCAGGACATGTTTCGTAGTTGTCATTTTTATCCTACTGAGCGTGCATTTTGTAGACACCTCGTTTTGTTCGGGCTAAAATATTTTGAATTTTGAAAAATTTAATTCATTTAGTATAGGCAATTGCTAATCTTGGATGAACTACTAAAATATTCTCAAAATAATTAGCAAAAGGATATAAGAACATGTAATTTGGATCTTTGGAATTAGCAATAGCAAGTCTTAAGATTCCAATTTAAATAGAGGTTATTACAACTGAAATCTCATCGATCTCCTTTGATTCTAGACCGATTGTTGGGATAAAATTCGTAAGGCAATTGCCTTATTTCGTTATCTTCGTGGATTCAGATTACTTTGATTGTTTCGTGGTCTTTGGACGTTGGCCTTTCGCGTTTGGAGTATCAAGTTTGGAGTATCGCTTTACAAAGGACAAACTAAATATGAAATAGTATTATCTTATTAATAAATAAATCACATTCATGGTAAACATACATAGCCATTACAACAATTGAAATTAACATACAATATTGCATAATCACAAACGTCATAAGGATTACATCATAACTAATTGCAATAATAGAAAGATAAATAGAAACTAACAGGGGCCAATGTTTTGAAAACTTTTTCTTTCGTTTTCAACTTTAGGGCGCAATCAGATTTTGAGAACCGTCCTCTTTGGATTTGGTTTTCTCAGGTCATCATTTTGGGTCCTAAAAGTTTAGAAAATAGGCCTGCAAAAAAATAATAAAAATAAATAAAGTTAATTAAAAGTCTAATTTGGGTCAGGCCCATATCAAAGTCCAGCCCAAACCTAGTCAAGTCCATCAGATTGGTCAAGGCCGGGTCAACGGATCGACCCGGTCAGGTCTGTATCCAACCTTGATCGGTTCGTCCATTTGACTCGAACTCTGGTTCGACCATGAACCAAGTTGGTTACTGTAGCCACAGTTCTCCACCAATGAGAATCAAGCAGGGAGGGGGTCTAAACCCAGGGCCAATCAGATTGGAACAAACTCCCCCCAAGGATATAGTAAATAGCCAATATAAATACAAGAGCCTGGGCAATAGATGAGGGAGGAGATTTCCAGTCCACATATTCCCATCCTTATCCCAAAGGCAGTAGAGAAAAGCACCAAAACAACCATTCATCTCCACCCAAACTTCATCAAGAATTTACAGAGCTCGAGTGAAAAACCCAGCAAGCATGTAAGAAAAAGTAAAAAGCAACTTCCACCTTCCTTTTTCCCTTTTCTGTTTCTGTTCTCATACAAGATTCCAAGGAAAGTGAAGTAGTAGAAAGCGACTGGAGCAAGGAAAGCCCAGAACATGGAGAGGCCAAAAGGGGAAGCAAACAACCAACAAAGAA